ATGAGATATGAAATCTGAGATGAGATTTCATCTTAGCGTACCATTGTGATGTACATTTTTGTACTGCAAATGCGTTGAAAAAACGTAACGCATAGAATTTAGCGGCTGAATCAGCTTCAAAGCGTTCAGATAGCTAGCTGAAATTATCTCAATATATTGTCTGATTCTCAAACATCTGAAACGAATTTCCAATGTCGTCCTGCCGCCCAACTTCAGAAGAAATATCTCCCCCAACAAAGAATTCATTCATCGCCACAAAATCAGCCGCTTCATGCTTGTAAAACTCAGTTACGTCATTCAATTCACTCTTATTTTCATCAATTGTGATTTCAACCTCGATCGCTTTGTGCCACACATCGGTTTCTATCAACGGTGTCAGCGACTCCGCAAGCGATAAATCATAGAATTTGTTTGTGAATACGAGATGCAAAACATTGCCGGCAGCATTTTCGAGATTGCACATTTGATGGAAACCGCAACCGAGCATTGTATCAATGACAGCTACGCCACCTTCCGTTGTCACATTCATCGGCAAGTAGTAATCACCGTCGTCCGCCTTAATCCACTTGACTCCCGACTGATTAAAATCACCACACACAATTACCGTGTCATTATCATCATATTTAATTTTCGTCACTGTCTCGGCAAATTCTAAAAATTTCTCTGTTTCATGCACAGAACGAATGTAAACAGCAAAAATGTAAATATTGCACTTCGTCAGCTTTACTTTAACACAAACATATTCAAGTCTGCTATTTTCCGTCAAAATTATCTTTTCACTGTGAAATTTTGAGTCTATCGCTACTAAAACTCCACCTCCGTCACTTCTTTCACTGGTCAAAACTGTACGATCACCGCGATACACATTGTATTTTCTACTAAAATGCTCTATGTTTGTAATGCTCTCTATGAGCCAAGTCTCGAAAAATGCTATTATGTGGAATGGGCACGATTCTGTCGCTAAACGTACCGCATCAACTTTATCACGAATGGAATGAGCGTTTTGAATGAACATATATAAATCAGTTGGAATGGAAACTTCACTTAAACTGGCGCCTCTTTCTCGGTTTCCATCAATTCCACCGGTTTTTTTCACTCAATTTCGGAGATTCATTCAATTTCGGGAAGAAATCACCAAGCGTTTTGTTTTTCAAAAACTCGCGCACCATTACTTGCTCTGGCCACATATCAGCATCAATCAATGATTCAAAGTCTTCTTCACTTGATTCAATTTTGAACGACACGAATTTCAGTGTGCTCAACTCACGGTCTTTTTTCACTAATTTGTGCACATTAAACTTTGATTTATCGCTGATCGATGTATTGTTGACAATGTAGTCGGCAATTTCTTCGGTTGTTGTTTCTGGATTGAGCCGAGAAACCCAAACTGCTTTAGCAAAAATCCGTTTCTCAGGACGTTTAGGTTTGGCCACCACTGATAGACCAATCGATTGTTTTGTGCAAATTTTTTTAGCCGGTTTGTTTTCATTAAATTTCATTCTTGGAGCATCATCATATCGTTTGCGTTTGGCTGATTGTGCATTATTGACAACAACATTGGCAAATGATGGCTTCGGTGTGTTTTGTGTGTGTTTTTTGCAAAGCTTGCGCAGTTCTTCGAATACTTCACTTTTTATTGGAGCAATTTTGCCATTAACGATATCATTCAAATGCTCTTGATAAAATTTGTGTCGTTTTTCCTTCTTTCCCGTATTGATCGGTCGGCCAATTTTAGCATCGATAGGTTCACTCTCATCCGCTTTGGGATCGATTGCAGGTACATTCTGCTTTGGCACCTTGGCTGCACTTGATTGCGATTCTTTCTTTTCACCTTTGGCTTCTTTCGGTTTGATTTGCATCTTTTTCGGATCGATGGCAGCTACATTCGGCTTTACCACCTTGGCTGCACTTGTTTTCGATTCTTTCTTTTAACCTTTGGCTTCTTTCGGTTTAGCTAGATTTAAATTAAAATAAGGAACGTTTGCTCACAAAGCCGTCTAAATAAATAAAAACACGCTTATGCCTAAATCTCTCAGGATTTTACCATTATTCTTGAAAATTGAGAAATGATAACAAATCCTATGGGAATCCCGACGAGAAATTTGCGGAATATCGCATTGCGACTATTCTACGTATAGTCGCAATACGAAAAAGTCCGTCGAACGCAGCCAACTTCACGTTGGTTGTACGAAGTTTCAAGTCGAAATATCACACTCGATTCAGTTACAACTTCACATTTATCGCAGCGCGAATAGTCGCAGGGTATTCAGCGATAACATTTTGCGGCAACTTTTATTGTGGATACCTATTCGCATTGCGAGTATCCGCACTCAAAAACGGATATGCGACGGATAGTCGACGTACACCTATTTCACCGCAAATTTCTCGTCGGGAATATCACGCAATTTTTATTCGCAAAACTTATTTCTATCTCATTTATTTCATTAAAATCTAATGAAATCTAAGCTATTTCAAATATTTTGCAGAATCTGTATTATTCACTCATATTCACCATGTGCTGACGTCATTACCGCTTCAAAAATGCTGGGAGTGGGTTTTGGTGGATCCTCAGGATCGTTTAGTACTGCTCCCGGTTTTGGAAGTGGATCCTCAGGATGGGCCAGGGCATTGTCAAACCTAGTCTGGTCCATCCTGAAGATCCACCAAAACCCACTTCCAGAATCGGGAGCAGTTCTGAACGATCCTGAGGATCCGCCAAAAACCACTTCCAGCATTAAAATATCTGCAAAAATCGACCAAAATGAAAAAAATCTCAGATATCTCGCATAATGTAATAATTGAAATTAATTTTTAGAAAATCCAAAAATCAATAGAAATTCAATAGAATTTTTTGCGTGATATTCCCCTAGAACAAATCAAATAAAATGATTTAAAAAATTTCAATCGATGATGTAAAATCCGAAACTTAGAACCTGTAAACTTTATTTACAGAAAAAATGTAACATAATTGTGCGGCACAGAAAGAGAAGAATGTGACCTTCGTTTGTAAGTGTGAGCATAGTGAATCATACAATTTCGATTAGATTTCCATGGCGGAAATCAGTATTGTGCGATTTACACACGTCAGCGATAGCTCAGCTGATCGCATGTGATCAATGAATGGTTCGCAAGTAAATGATAAGCATAAAATATTCATTAACATTTCCGAAAAGTCATGAAGCAATATAACAGTGACACATGTACTGACCGACGAATATTTTCAATTTTTCCGTCCGCTCAAGACTCAACAATGCGGCACAGCCAAGACTACATCTATTAAACTATTAGTTTGAAGCAATAGCCGCGAGAGAAAAAAAAATGAAATTCATGCGAACGGAGTAAAGGAGAAATGAATTACGTTTGATGTTTTTTTCTCCTTTCCTTCTATTTGTTTCATTTTCCTCTGTTGTGGGACTCTTTTCATATGCAAGCGATTGTATTACAGTGGAACCTCGGAAATTAGAAGATCCAGAAATTAGAATTCCTCCGAAATTAGAAGAGAATTCTCTGCCCCATTGCTGCTTCTGAAATTAGAAGATTGCCTTCTAATTTCAGAGGTACTTTTTTAAATGCTTATTCAATGCAATGCAGCTATTGTATCGAACGAAAAATATTTTAAATGGAACAAAGTATCGATTGGAATTTCTTGACGAAACTAAGGAATTGCATCACTATTTGTGGTTTTTTTCGAAAATTATGTGCCTCAGCTTCAAAATCTCGAAACAAAACATATTAATGTGAATTCTATTTGAAAGTGAAAATTTTTAGGAACATTTCATCGTTAAAATATACAAGCATGGCTGATTTGAAGCAAATTGAACTCAAAATCATCTGGAAATATGTCATGAACAAATTTTGTTTTTTTGGATTCGGATTGCTCCAAATTTACTTTACATTCGTTTTTTTATGGAAAAAAATACATCTGCATAGTTTTTATAATCTTTCATCTCGAAATAAATGAATTGTTTTGTCTGATAATTCTTCTAATTTAATTGGAATATTATTGAAAAGAATTATTAAGGCAGAGTATCAAAAATATTGGAATCTTGTTAAAAGTATGTTTCAAAGTTATATTTTTATTTGGGAATTTCGTTCTGGTGTTACTGTAGTGTCATCTTGTTCATTTAACTGCAAAATTAATGCAAAACAATTTGCCTCCGAAATTAGAAGAATTCAGAAATTAGAAGTACCCGAAGTACAAACACCTTCTAATTTCCGAGGTTCCACTGTATGTTGTTTTTGTAATATAAAGTACTAAGTGAGCGTAAATGACACCACATTGTATCTCATTTTATTCAGCTCAAATTAGATCATTTTGATTTTTATTTGATACCATATGATAGTGTTTATATACGATATAAACATTAGTTTGTCATAAAGATACGAAACGAAGCTATACGATTACTATACACACGTGACATTTCAATGGGCCATATATGCACTGCGTCGGCAAAATTTTTTTGTGTGAGAGCAGCTTTGTTCATGGCTCCGCAAATGCGAAGTGAACAGTCGTTTACAAAATGCCAGCCGAGATGGTATTGAAGGAAAATCAATCGGAATTTTGAGTTAAAAAAATATTTTGATAAATCTTCAAAGCACGTTGACTTTGAATTCGTCGAACGTGTTGCTACTGTTTTAAGCAGAAGAGGTGTCATAAACTTACTAAGTTTTAAGAATTATCGAGGAAGAAAAAGTGAAGAATTTATTGTGAAATTCGAAAATGTATTGAAGACATTCTATTATGGAGACAAATAAAAAATTAGCTATGGAAAATTTGGACAAACAAACAATTAATGGTAAGATTTTAATTAATGAACGAGATATAAAAATAGTGCTATTTATTGATGTTCTAAAACCATAATATTGATAAGACATTTACGAAGAAAACAACAACAATGAAAAGTGTTATTAAACTACACATTCTAATGGCCATCAATATACGTACTGATCAAAGGGCCAAAAAACCTACTAGCAATAAATCAGTGAATGCTTCAGTGTGTCACAGTTATCATGTGGAACATAAAACGTCAACGTCAATGGCAAACCTGTTTGTGATGTGTTGAATTCGAATGTTAATTTCATTCATATCGAACTAATTTTTGAAGTATTTTGCTACACTTTGCATTTATGCAACGTTTTCATAATTAGATGACTTGTGCAATTTTTTGATGAAAAAATTCGGTTAAAATTGTGTTCCGATGTTTGTAATTGGAATTCATTTACTATTTAAAAAATGTGCAGCCTAAAAGTAGGCTTGAGAATCGAATCACACGCAGAGTTTTATTTTCATTCATAAACTACGAATTCACTCAATGAGCGACAGAATGATTCATTGAGATTGCTTTCCCCCCACACTGGCTTCGTTTTTCAGTTTTTATTCGAACACATATTGAAGAGTTTTTTTCTTTGAGTTTTATTTTTGAGCTGAGCTCAACTTATCCAAAAATTTCGGCTGGAAATTTTTTAATTACGTTTAAGACACCTTTAAATTTTTGGACGCCGGACAAGCCATCAATGGCAAAGACACTTCTCATCGTGTAAATTCAAATATTCGAATACAAAAACATATGTTGATGCCATTCACTTTAATTTCTTTCACTTAAGGTACAAATGATTCAGAAACCGTCACAAAACCCGTTGCAAATCTCGATAATGGTGGACTGCAAAAACTGCCGTATCCAAAACGAATATTTCTCATAGTTGGAAATGAAGTGTGCGAACGGTTTAATTTCTATGGAATGAGAGGTAAGTTCATTGAAAAATTCAAATTAATCTCTGATCTAGTGCAATTGTTCAATTTTTCCGAACTGCTCTATCTTCTACTTCTTCGCAGCAATTTTGGCCTTTTATCTAAACTACAAAATGGGTTACACGGAAACGGATGCTACCATGTTGTTTCATGCATTTACGATGATGGTGTATTTTGCATGCTTCTTCGGCGGTATTGTATCGGATGTTTGGCTGGGAAAATTCCATACAATTTTGTATTTGTCGTTCTTTTATTCGATCGGAAGTGTGATCCTGTCGCTGAGTGCCATTCCAGTCATTGACTTTATTTCACCGAAAATCGCTGTGTTCATTGGATTAGTCCTGATTGCTATTGGTAGTGGTGGGATCAAGCCATGTGTATCGGCTTTTGGAGCTGATCAATTCAAATTGCCTGAACAAGCCGCTCAAATAGCCACATACTTTTCCGTATTTTACTTTTCGATGAGCGTCGGCACGCTTACCTCAACTACAATCACACCAATCTTACGAGCAGACGTCCATTGTTTCGGCGAAAATGATTGCTATTCACTTGCATTTGGAGTGCCTGCCATCTTGATGATCATATCGATTGGTAAATTTTTCAGTCAAATTCGATTTAAAATCAAAATTTTGCAAATTTTTTTGTTAATTTCAGTATTGTTTCTCATTGGAAAATCATCCTATACCTACGTTGAAACCTCATCGGAAAATATGATCATTAAAATCTTCAAATGTATTTCGGTAAATGTGAAAGAGCATAAAATTCATGTTCTTTGGAGCGAACTTTCATAATTTCTCTTCTTTTCTCTTTTATCCAGCATGCAATCGCCACGAAGAGGCGCGAAGGAAAATTGAGCCCACGTGAAAATTTGCTTGACTATTCGACTGAAAAGTATGGAGCTCAGTTAGTTAACGATATAAGAGCTGTGACGAATATTTTGCTGCTCTATTTGCCGTTGCCAATCTTTTGGACGGTGTACAATCAAAAGGGATCGCGTTGGATATTCCAAGGGGCAAAAATGAATGGTGACATTGGATTTTATGTCATTAAACCTGATCAAATGCTGATGGTGAATCCTTTGCTGGTGCTTACATTGGTGCCTGTTTTCGAAACCGTAATTTATCCAATGCTCAACAAAATTGGCATTCGACGACCACTTCAAAAAATGACAATTGGCGGCATTTTACTTGCAATCTCTTTCTTTCTGTCAGCAATTATTGAATTTTCGATTGAATCATCGTCGGAAAAATCCATAAGCATTCTATGGCAAATTCCACAATTTGTTATTCTTACGATAGGCGAAATTTTATTCGCCGTAACCGGGTTGTCATTTTCATACGAGGAAGCAAGTGCAAATATGAAATCAGTTGTCGTTGCATACTGGCATTTACTGGTGGCTTTTGGCGAAATTTGCTTCATTTTTGTATCGAAAATTACAGCAGATCGTTTTACACAGGGCAATGAATTCGTTCTTTTCGCAGTTTTAATGCTAATTGATATGCTCATTTTTGCAATTGTTGCACGGAATTTTAAAAGTCAAAGTCAAAGTAAAGGGGATGCACGTTAGGATCGATAAAATTTTGTAGTAGAGAACTGTTTTTTTATCAATTATTAGAAATTTTTGTAACGAGCTTAATAGAGTAATTTAGTTTTTAATCAATTTTATCCGCGATAATAGGCTACACGAAAAAATTAATACTTTGTGAGGACACATTTGCGTGCGGAATCATTTATTTAATTATAATTTGAAATAATGTTACCCTTTCATATCAAGTTTCATTAAATTAGAATAATTTACACACGAAAATTAAGATTAAAGCCAGACATATGGTTGAATAAATGTATTTTTGCGTTTTTGGAAGTTTTTTTGCCACAATTTTTATTTTATACGTCATATCCTTCGATTTGAAGTCTATTTTTGGTTGTTGTTGTTGTGTAAAAATTGATCGAAATATCAATAAATGACACAATTCTAATCAGATGGATTTTGTCCTTAAAAAATTTTAAAATGTCAAAAAGTGAAAAGTAATTTGCTCAAATTAATAACGAATTTGTCGATGGACGTCTTTAAGCCCAATGTTTTGCCTTTACAAACGCGGGCGGAAAAAAGAACGACGAACTTGGTTGAATTCTTGACAACTTTGACACTTCGATGTACAGTGTACACACACATATAAATACGTATGGTGGATTGGAAAACGTCAACAATGAACTATACTAACACTTAGTGTAGCAAGTTCATCGAATGTGTGAACGGGTGACAATATTCGATGACTTCAAAATCATATGAAAAACCACACAAGTGTTGACAGTGCAAACTCACGATTTTTTAAAAATATTTCTTTGGAAAACAAATCGTGGATTGATGTCATGTTTACAGTCGGAAACGTTAATGCAAAATCTCCAGTATCCAGTTTCAGTCTACTTTGTAGAAAATCACGAAGTAATGATGTTGAAACTAAAAATAATTATTCTCTTATACCTAAGCACAGTTCTTACGAAGGAGTTTTTAGAAAGCTCAATATCTCTAGCCCCCACCACTTTGAAACTTTTAAATGTAGATTTATATTGATAAATGTTGATTTGAATTGTTGTTTTATTGCTGTCTCTATCAAGCGTCGCACATCTCTCTTCCTATTGTTTTACGTCGATTAGAAAAGTCTCTTTTTTCAGAAAAAAGTACATTCCATCGCTGATATCAAAAACCTTATTTTGTTTTGATGAATTTTTCGAAAATAAAAAACGATCAGTCAATATCAAAAGAGTCATTATGAAAAAGTTGCGACATTAAATCGTGCAAAGGTTCGAGACACTTCAATGGGCCACTATAAAATCGATATCTTATCACAGCTAATAAATGAGAAACATTTGAGAAAATACAAAGTACTTCATCAAAATTACACATGTTAACGGAACTCATTATAGATATCAGTCGCATTTTGATTAGTTGCAGAGAGATTTTGTTCGGTGAGAATAGATTTACGGCACGGATTTCTACCTCTTTTCTTATTTTGAATTGTTCTTTTGAAAATTGAGCTAATAAAAACCATTTAACGAGTAGAAGAGTTGATTTTTCCGTCAAATCGACAAATTAGTTCAAGTTCAAGTGTTGAACAATGACGACGAAATTGAGTAATCCGGAAGGCAAAGCCACAGGTTTGAATAAGATTTGTTTTCTATAAATGAAACGAAACGCTACTTTGGACAGCAAATAATTTATACTTGAAGACAAAAGTACAATTAATCTACACTGTGAAACGAGATGCAAAAATGAAAACGGATAAATTTTCAAGTAAAAAAAACTATTTTAGGTAAATGGTATCTGTTTTTTCCTGCCATCTATAAGAACTTAAGATTTAATAATAAATCATTTGATATTCGCCAAACCAATCTAAATGTGAATCGAAAGGCGGGTGGCATCTAGAACCAAAAACGCCGTAAATTAGAGGAACAAATTCTATTCAACAGAAACGACGCAAGCGCACATATATACAGTATATCATAAATATTGGTAAATGGTACCATCCAACGGAAAAAAGTTATCACACTGAAGAAGTATGTTGTCAAAATGGTGCTTTTTGTTCTTTCAGTTTGAACAATTTGAAGCGCTGCTATGGCAAGAATACAAGCAACAAGGAATATTCACTTTTCTCTCAGGGCGGAATATTTCTGAATTCGGCCACTGTGCAGTTTTCATCCAATATGGAACAAAAATGTTATTTACAGTCTTTTCGAAAATGAAAAAAGTTGCCAATTGGATACCAAAATAGGCAATTGTTCTATGCTTTGTCCTATCAATTTCGTTCAAAAGTAATTCTCAAACAGCCTCAAATGAACTGGATGAATAGTAACAAAACGAAACGTATATCAGACACCACATTGAAAAACCAAAGTCCAATCACGGCATTTTCACATATAAAGATAGGGATTGTGGAGTACGTCGAACTTTCAAATTAAGATGCAGCGAAATGTTACACATATTTGATTTAATGTTAACAGTGATGAATGCTTTTTTATATTTTATTGTTAGTTTTATCATGAAATGTTCAAATAAATAAAAAAAATGAGAGAGAAATTCGTTATTTTTGGTTTGGCTTTATTAGCTTTTATACAGAGACAAGGTAAAACAAATTATGTGACTTTTCCACATGTCGTGTGTAAAAACCCCTTTTTACGATTTTTGAACTCCGAAAAACGCGAATCCAGCGTTATTTTGAGGTCGTATGATAGGTGCGTGATACACCGTATCAGAGCCTGTTTTTTCAAATTTTTAGAACATCCCGATTTGAAAAATAAACAAATGATATTTTTTTGTAATGGGAAGGGAAAGTTAAAATACAATGTTTACTGCGCAGCTGCAGATACATTTTGATTGGGATTTGTATCGGATTGACTTTGAGTAAGCGCAACAGCGGCATTTGCCAATCCATCAATTTGATTTGAATCATGAGACTGGTCGTTTGAAGTATTTTCCGAATCGTTCGGCTTATTTTTTTTCACGAACCATCTATCGATTGTAGCCTAGAGCGATGTATGAGAATGAAGCACATTGACTTCAACTTGAAACCGTATTAAAATTAAATATATTGACTTCTCATTTCGTTTATTATCAGACATTTTTGTCAATAATTCTCACGTAGTTTCGAAGAGCAAAATAATGAGCACAAATCTATTCGTGAGACGTAAAAGAACGTATGTTTTTTTTCAGTTTTAAATATTTGAAAAAGAAAGTATGTTTTCGATCGATTTTGTCTGAGTAAAAGAGAAGTATGTTTGATGGCAACTAAAAATGGTTAAAAGAATGTATGTAAATTGAATGGTAGCGTTAGCGAAAAAAGAATGCATGTTTATGGTCAAGTAAATTTTGCAAAAAAAATGCATGCTGTTCTATCTATTCAGTTAATAATAAAGAGAAGCATGTTCTCATACATTTATATTGCCAAAAAAGAAAGTATGTTGGCTAAAATAATGTAAATAAAAAAATTTATTCCGACCGCCGTGAACAGGAATTCATAAACCTTAACACGGTCGGACAAGCGAACGACCAATTTATTTATTGTCACACACCAGTCGTGCCGTCGCAGTGAATGAATCGAGTGGAGTAACAGGCGCACAGTACTCTCAGAGTGCGCATGCGCGCTCGATGAAACACGCATCTCCTGTCCACTTCATTCATAACCGCGCGCCGTTTGAGTGTACAACAACAAATACATTAGATGTCCGAGCGTGTTAAGGTTTATGAATTCCTGTTCACGGCGGTCGGAATAAATTTAATAAACGCTACCATTCAAAATACATACACTCTTTTAATAATTTTTAGTTGCCATCAAACATACTTCTCTTTAAGGCTACAAAGTTGGACAAACTTGCGTTCTTTTACGTCTCACCAATAGAAATGCATTCAAATGATTTTAATGAACGAATGACCGCAACTAAAAATAATATGCAATTGGTGCTCCAATTTTTCAAAGTTTGAATGTAAGCATGTCTGCGTTTATTTGGTGATCCAAATGAAATTCAGCAAGACAATTGTTTTTTTTTTAATTGGTCATTGCACAGTCGAAACAATTTATTCTGCAGAAGTAGCACTTTCGAATAAACAACTCCGATGCTGCAGTTATATTTTAGATAAACAAAAACATGTGGATTGAGCATGACGAGTTTGCAATTTATCAATTTCAATGCGGTATCAACGATTCGCGATATACACTGAACCTCGGCCAATAGACATAAAATAAGAAAGCAATAAAAAGGTTGAATACTTGGAATCGATTCATTATTGAATTCAAAGAAAACCTGATCGAAATTAAATATGAAGAAAGCAAACAAATGTATCGACTTTCAACAACATAAATATCCACAAAAGAGTGTTGATTTTTATACTTTGACATTGAATACAGTGTTTGAACGTCAGATTATAGTTCTCACGTATGAAAAAAGTTACATCCCGATTTTCAAATTAGAGCAGCACATTTGGATTTAGAACATCCCGAATCTAGTAGAAGATCCCGAAAAAACAGGCTCTGCACCGTATAATTGAATAACAAGTGCTATTGCTCTATGCTTTTCTTTTAAATATGAAATACCTTTTTTCAATTTAACAGGAATGATATATTTTTTGAAAGAAAATGTGTTCATTGAATTTGACAGTGCGGGGAAGCGTACGACGTAGACTCTGTACGAGAAAAAAAATATGTAAAAAAATTTGCTATGTAAAAATTGAGTATTGGCATGTTTAAAATGTGACTCTTCAATCAATTCAATGCATCATATCCCTACGAATGCCGTATTCGATTTCATTTACAACATAAAACAAGAGTAGATGCTTCTAAAGACTGAACACTTGGCATTTAAACTTTTAAATCGAATGGCTGGGAGAAAAGCTCGAATTTTGGGCCATTTTTACTTAGGGACGTAGGCCGCCCATAGGCAGGCCAATTTTGATGTCCAAAACTGTCGATGCTATTAATTTTTATTGAACTTTCTATTGATATATGACATTTGAGAAAAAACATTTATAGAAAAAAAGAAAACCTAAAATTTATAGGCGTATAAACAATCCTGTCCATGACTGTAATTCTTTTTATTTTTTATTCGATGACAAATACTTCGAAAGAAGTTTTTTTATTTGCTATTTTAATTACTCGCAATCAAAAGTGCGTTCCACTGTACGCAGATGAATTTAAATCCAAAATAAGTACACAATGACTACAGTAAATTTTAAAGTTTATTGATTTTTTTATCTATTACAGTTATGTGTCCGCTTTGCTCAGTCGGTTCTATTTAATCTACAATACGTTATGGCATAGATTCAATAGAGTTAAAGTGATCAAATGCAATAGAAGAATTTTGTTGTTTGTTGCGATTTCCAAAGAACTATTATTCGGGATAGTTGTTGTGGTGTTTTTGTCCTGTTGCTCTTGTTGATTTTTTCGTTCATCTTGCGTATTTGCAACATCATTTGGTATTTTTCTTTGGTTGTCTTTTGTAGTTTCTTCAACTTTATTCGAGTTTGGTATTGACTCTTTGGGACATCCGTCAGCCCATCGTCTGATCGAAATTGGCTTTTTCTTCGTCGTACGCTTCCCCGCACTATCAAATTCAATGAACATATTTTCTTTCAAAAAATATATCATTCCTGTTAAATTGAAAAAAGAGATTTCATATTTAAAAGAAAAGCATAGATGAATAGCACTTGTTATTCACAACAGAATGATCAATAAAATACAGGGCTTGAGAATCGCACATTTAGTTCACAGAACAACTCATTTAAATGAGAGCCACAGTGCTCGTGTGCGATGCTTTTCTCATGCAAACTGAGTTGTGTGCGCAACTGCGCATACCGCTCACTTACTTCTCCTTTGCTTTGTGCGGATCTTCGTTCGGCCGGAAAAATAAGAATAAGAAGAAGTAGAAGTAGGTTCAACATAGCCGAAATACAGGCACGAACATGTTTTTTCTGTTCTGCGTGTCTGCTGTGAGTATTTGAGCGCACATTGAACGGACAGTGGTAAACTAATTTTTATTTGAACATTTGTGAACTTTTCGTCGTTTGTTCGTGTGCGTGTAGCGCACACGACATTGTTATGCATTGCGCTACTCACAGGGTCCACTCAGTGCGATTCTTAAGCCCTGATAAAATATGCTTTGAAAACCAGTTCTGGTTCCTGGGAAAAATTTCTATTCGTAAAAGAAACGTCCGACTTACGATTTTTGTCTTGGAATGCTTCATTTACACGTGAAATTCCCTGCCAATGTGTATTAATATTCTGCGGCTGAATCATTTTGACTTTGCGCGTATTCTCATCGAATCTAAATCAAATATTGAGAAAAAAAAATTATTTTCCGCATTGATTTGTTTGCAGTTATTCTATTCTTTTAAATATATTTTCACTTACTCCCAAAAGTCCATTCCACTGAAAAAGTATATTGCCTTTACATTTGGGCTATCAATTCTCAGCACTGCATCGATTCTCTCTAAAGAAGTTGGTAGACCTACATCACTCAGTGTGTATCTACGATTCAATTGAGCTACATTACTTGAAGCGAAGTGATACCATGATTTTCCTTTGGAATATTTACGATAAACCATTAATTCAGTAATAGATTTGTCTCAATTGCATTGATAAATCAATGAAATTTACCTATGAAAAAGATTATTCCACTGGATTCATTTTCAAAAATTTCAAAAGCTGCATTGATGTGTGTTGAGTCTAAGACTGGTAATTCATTGAATAATTGACTAATTTCTATTGGGCCTTTTACGCGACGATACTTGTCTATTTGCCAAGAATACTTAAACGATACATGTAAAAAAGAATTTATAGAAACCTACTTATAGAGGGAATCGATTTGAAACTCACTTGATTTTTGAATAGCCATAGCTCCCCACGAAACCATGTAATGGCATCAAAGTTTGTATTACAAATGTTTGGCATATTCTTTGGCTGTGAAGGCGATTCGTTGCTATTTCCATTTGATATCGTCGGTGATTTTGTTACTGTTGTACTACATACAGTAACAGAGGACCTTTGAGGTGCAGGACCCCTCCGGTTGCAGCGCCCATATATTTCTTCAATCATCCTGATATCGTCGCCGTTCAGCTGATCAAATTTCGGAGACTCATTGTAAATTTCAAACATAATTGCATTTTGGTTTTTGGAATGTGTTAAGCCCAATGCGTGCCCAATCTATTAAAGAACACATCACAAGTTCTGTATCAAAAAGAATATGAAATAAAAACAAGAGATTTGGTTGCCTAAAACGATCGAATCATACCTCATGCACTGCAATATATTGTAAAAAAGCACCTGTGATTCGAAAAAGGATATAAAGGTTTCTTTCAACATCTGTTCAGTGTTTGTATTCATTGATAAGTTCGTTGAATTATGATTATAATATTTCCTATATTACCTTCACTATTATCACACAGGTTTAATTTCCATTTCACATCTGCATTGAAATGTATATCACCTCCAATTTTTTCTCCCGGGTGATGTGCGTGTGCTAAGGTAGTAGCATCATTGAAATGTCTACAATCACCATGCTTACCTCTAAATATTCAACCAAAAACGGCATTTAGTTTGTATTAATTTGTGGCACAAGCTAATTTTCTTCTCTATATATGTGTATTTGGTGCCCCATGATTTTGGACGAAATGCAATGAGGAGCTTTGAAAAATGAATTCGAGCGTTTATCCTCACACAGTTGGAAGGATACATTTACCTTTCAAATGAAATTTTCATATCAGCATCGTTATAATTTACTCTATAAAAATTTAGGCAAGTTCCACTTGACCAAACACTGAAAGCAGCAATCAAACTCCGAATCACAACATTAGCATCTGATCTATTCAAATGAATGGCTGATTGTAGTGTTCGTTCGTCAAAGCTGAAATACATTTGAAAATTTAATGTGAAGTTCATACAAACTATAAATACACAATGTTTATGAAATCATAAAAATGAGTAATTTCCAAACCCCCAAGTGATGTTTTCTTTGTTCCAGCCTTTTGAATTTATATTTCGCCGGGACCGATACCGTTTTTTTGTGTTGTCCGAGGTCAGGAACTTAGTTGAGTTCCAGAGATTAAATGTTTCCAATTGCTGGTGATCCACGACTACCAAACGAACTGAATCATTGCTTATCTATTCAAAGAAAACAGTGATTACTTATTTATTAATAAATACGAGGCATGCACATAAAAATTCGTAATATGTGCGTCGAAAGGATTAACAAATGAAACTATCAACATAAAAAGTAAAAAAATCGAGAAAACAAGAAAAGTTGACAAAAAGTGATGAGCAAATATCCGTAATAAACGTACATCATGCGACTCTATTGAAGTAGGCAATGATTTAGTTGTGGAGTCTTTTATCCACACTAGAAAAACACATGCGCTCAGTAAAATATGTAAACTATTCGACGAAAGATTGCTCTTTTGTGATGACATTATACGTATTCTCTCAATATTGTTTACGATTGTTACAAAAATGATAGCTAAACTTGTTTATCAGTCCCAAATGAATGCTAATAGAGTTGAAGAATTTAAGAACACACAATTGCAGAGCACAAAACAATACGATCAACACGAAAGCTGTGGCTTTTTATTACTAAACTCTCTGAGAAGTGGCAAGGGCGTAAAAACCAAATTGAAAAAAATTGAATCAAACATATCAAGAAATTTATTCTCTTTCAAAGAAAATGCCTATAAAATGGTAGTATGACTTATTCTTTATTCCTTTCTGACGTTTATGCTACATTTGGATATTTTCTCTTTGTTCAAATGATAACCATAATTTCATATACTCACTTCGAATGAGTCCTCAATATAAAATTCCCGTTACGAAAATTATGTAAGGTTATTATCATGTATGAATCATGAAATGAGATGATTCAAGAATTTCTATGTCAATATGTCCACGAGAGGCTAAACGCGAAGAACGCACATTTCTTTTCGGACACAATTTTGATGGTTCCTGATCCTGGCTATTTTTACAATTCATAGAAACAACTGAAAGGAATCAATTGATCTAATTCATAATTAGTTTTGCGATAAGAAGACATTGCGACGACAAATAAACCCCTTGTCAAACCATTTATATCTCGTCTTGATAATTATCATGCCGTTAACGGTTTCAATTGTTTGGAATTCCATTTTACGCATTTATTCGTGCACTAATTTTAGTTCTTGTAGCATTGGCAATGTTAACGCGCAATTTCGTCGAATTTATACGCTTGGTGTTTTCAAGATAAAAGAATGTTTAAAAAAAAAACATTTTTATACGATTCAAGTCGAGGGGCAAATCACTCTAAAGTAATTTGTAATAGAGAAAGTAATTTACGTGTAAGAATCTCGATTACTTTTGAAAACTAATCGAGATTTTTACACGTAAATTACTTTCTCGATTACTTTCTCTATTACAAATTACTTTAGAGTGATTCGCCCCTCGATTCAAGTTCACATTTGTTTTTATTCACTTATTTGATTTCTTATTCATGTGTACTTGGGATATAAATAAAATGATTTCGATTCCTAGTTGAGTGACATTACCGATTTATGTAATTAGTTGCACTTATTTCTCAATTGTATAGGTTGAGTCACTATCGATTATAACCTGATTCACTACATCTATAAATTATCAATAATAATACCGTCCACAAAGTTCATTGTGCGCCACACAGAACGAGGGGGATAACGTTTGTATACGAGTGGCAAATACTTTGAAAGAAAAACGTGGAACATGTCTGGAACGGCATCCAAAAAACAGAAGATGGTTGATGAAACGCCAAACCAAATGCCTGTTGCTGATTCATCAATTGATCAGCCTGATGCGCGCATTTTCAAATTGGACGTTGATTGCTTTGAAGGATTATTCGAATGGTTGTCGTTGAAGGATTTACGGATACTTCGTAAAACATGCAAGCGAATTATCCACGAGGATTTGGGAAGTTCTAAGTTTCCAACTCAACTCTGAAAAAATGTTTGCAAAATAGATAAACAATTTGAGTTCAATTGTTCAACGAAATGTTCAATTGCTATTGATGATCTGGAACATATGTTGTGCAATGCTGAAATGGTTGAAATTTCCAAAGCATGGTTCCAAATTCGGACAAACAATCAGATTTATACGGCGATTTCCTTTGTTATTGCGATAATTTAAAGTGTTTATTTATAAATTCATTTAATAAATCCTCTATTTTCTATCCTGAATAAAATTAAATAGACTGATATCCAGCGCCGTATAGCTTGTATGGACGAAGCGTTTGAGGCTGAGCTCCATATGGAATTTTTTCACGGTACGGCGCTGCTGATATTTGAAAAATAGATTGTATTTGGTTAACTATAAACTTGCTTGTATTTCGAACTTAAACAGTTTTGACACGAAGAACAAAGAATGGAGAAGATAAATGAAGATGTGTGAAATTGTGTGGTGCTGAATGAAAATCAATTTTCACGCGAAAGATCCTGTTTTCTTGGGTCTGATCAAATGAACAACTGATTTGATCATTTTTTCCACGCTTCAAATGCAGCTAATCTATCCTAGTACTGTATACACATATTGAATTGAACGCCAATTATTTTTGCCAAGTTTGATTTTATTCAAAGTTTATTAAATGTGGTCCGATGATAACATCCGTTTCATCTTTAAAAAATTTAAAGTATTGTATTTTTATGGGTGGTCTTAGTTGAGAATTTCTAAGAGATAAATCTGTTTGATTGAACGAATAAATGATTCTAACAATTGAAAATGTCCAATCACGTTTATGTGGACAATAACAGAATTCCTTCTCTTTTCTTCGGAAGAAAAAGATAACGTTTAGTTTGGGATATCACACACACCCCAGAATTTTTTTCAATATAAACTTAACTAGTCATTATAAAATATCAAAAATACATTCATTTTTGTCAACGGAATCATATAAAAAATACTATTCTTCTCTTTATAAGTTGACATGAAAAAAAATCATACATTTTTTGAAAAGATATTTTTAGTTATATAATGAAAAAAAAATCATTGAAACATATTTTGCCTTAAATCTTATAAAATTCATCTAAATTCAATATTTGTCAGAAAAAACATTAAATTTTTGTACATTGTGTTGTAATCTTTCTTGAATTTATAAAAAAATATATATTTCAGTCCAGTTCAATATTCATGTTCAAAAATATGTGATTCGGCTCGTTTTATTTCGATCAAACTGAGCTTTGTCCGCATTTTTGCGAATTTTGTGCTCAAATAAACCTGTTCCTTGACATAGATGGTAAGTTTTGTAGCTCCAGAACATAGTTTACGTTCTTTGTTCAGTGCCACCAAATCGATGATCCCATCGCTTAAAAACCGTCCATCCGTCGGTGAATTAATTTTGATTTCCTTCAATTTGGTCGATCGACGAAAGAATGGTAGAATATTCTCGAAATCAGCGAATTTAAAATGAATTATTTCAATATTTGGAAGGTTATCCACCAAGCTGTCCATGTTATCGACATCAATATCACTGTCCAAATAAAATGCCTTGAGGTGGTTAAATGGTGGCAAAATGGTAGCACTGATCAAGTATTCAACGAATAACACGTCAAGGACACGTAAATTAGCAATTTCAAACATTTGTTGCCCTTCACAGAAACAATAAACGAAAAAATGTAGTCGTTTGTAGAAACCATTCTCGTGCAGCATATTCAGCCGATTGCAGAATTGATCCATTCCATTTTCTGGAAGATGTAACATTTCAATTTCTAATTTATCCAATTTCACGCCCGACTCAATGATCCATGCGTCTGGAATTGTGTCAAGAATGTTCGATGAAATGGAAAGTGTTTTTATATTTCGGTTTCGTTCCAAAAATGTCTGCAACTTGTCATTTTCTTCGAATGGCTCCGCATCACTAATGATGAGTTGTTCAAGCGTTGGATATTGTTGCAACAGCCAATCACTGTCTATTCCCATTGTGGAAAAATCCATGATGCACAGAATTTTCAAATTGCTACAGAATGTCAAGAAATTATCATAGAGTGTGCCGTTGAGCTGTACATCGGAAATAACAACTCTCTCAACATTGCTTAGAATGTGTTTGAGACCGTCGATTATATAATTTGTTAATGGATTGTAACCGAATTTAATGCTCTTGTATAGTTTTGTAAAACTTGCGTCGAAACGGCATAGATCTTCGAATGTGTCGTCAACAAATTCAAAACGGCCGAATCTCAATGGGTAATTCAATGGAATGTGGTAATTGACCACTTGCTTCATTCGCTTACATGTCTGACGAAGTGCCCGCAAGTCTCTTAGCGAGAGCCATTCAAACAATTCTTCTAAGCAATCGACATCCAATTTATTTATACCCGACGCGTTTGATACAACAGCAATGGTATTTGGATTCTCCATCGAGCTTGTCTCTGGTTTCGTTGCATTTCCTTCAGTTTTATTTTCACTCATTTTGATGGCATTCAATTGACTACTAAACAAATGTTGACCGAGCTACTCGTTTGTTGACCAAAAAAAATTCGCCGGTAATGCCTTATTTAGTCTTCGTCCACTTTATTTGGTTCAATAAGTGATTAGCTGCATAAGTCGAAATCAAATTTTCTCCTAAATTGAGAAAAAAGTTTTTTAAATAAAATGGAAGTTGGAAAAAAGTATAAATTTCACAATATGTTGACACAAAAAATAATTTACGTGCCTAGATTGTGTTGTGATGAGAGCAATCGCTTTGATTATATAAGCCAAATTAGTCGATTTAATTTGTGCAATGAATTAAACTACTCCAGCTGGAACTATTTTTTAGTGATTTATATATGAAATGCGTTCAAAATGTAATTAAAACATGAAATAAAAATTGAACAGAACACAACAATTGATACGTACCTTTAGAAAAACCGAATAACAAAGAAAACTGACTGTTGTAAAAACATGATGCGATCTGTTTGACAATACAACTTACGGAGAGTTTTTGTAGTCTGTCATGTGTCAAATTCTACTTGACAGTGGTGCTTAATGCTCATTCACATTGTGAATGTGTCACAAAGCTTAAGAAAGGCTAAATGAGTTTTTTTTTCTCTTTATTTTGTGCGAAATTTATTTTAGATTTATTCAAATGTTTACAAAAACAATTTTAGGTTTCAATATTAAATTATTACAACATTTGAAATATTGAAAAATCTTAATTTGAACTAAGAGTGATGCCATCAAACATAGCCAACAAAGTGTTACAAGGACTTAGTAATTAGATGAATAAGTAAACAATGCCATTGAATCGTTCTCCTTAAATTATAAATAATAATAAGGGGAAAAACACTTTTCCATTAAATTGATGCACACAATTTATTCTATTTATTCACAAAATGAACGTTATTTTTATTACTTATCTCAAAAATCGATAGGTAGAAGCATTTAAATTTAGTCTAAGGAACGCACACGACACAGTTTAAACTTTAAAGCATAATTCGCAAAATAAATTATTGTTTGAACACAAAAAAGGCTTTTAATTTAATTTCATTGGCATTTCAATAGCTTTTGACTTTGCAATATCGTTTATGAAGAGTAGAATATATAGCAAAACTGAGTTTTTCTCATTAAATATAGTGACTCGCTTGTGAGAGTTGCTTCAACCAATTTCCTACTGGGCTTTCCACTTTCCATATATAATGTTCGATTTTTCGAACACACGGGGAAAAACGAGTTAAACACTGAGGTGCATATGCACATTGAAGAAATATTTCTTCAAAAGACTCGTTTATAAAACGCATTTTCCCAATCGATTGTTTCTAATCGTTGGATTTCAATGAATTCGAAGTCGGTGTTTGTCGTTGCCAATTTGATGGCTAAAAATAATTTTTCACGAATGTAAATTGTAATTTTTTTGGCATCAATCAATTGTTTTCGTTCTTGGTTAAGTGCTGATAAATTGGTGATTGTGTCTAAAAATCGATTTTCATCTTCGATAACATCAATTTTAATTTGTTTTACTTTGGTTGCATGTCGAATGAATCGTAGAATTGAATCTGAACTGACTGATTCGAAGCAAAAACGTTCGATATTTTTCGGATAGAGATTTTTATCGAGTGGATCCAAATTGCTCAGATATACGGCCCAACAAACGCTCAATTCTTTCAGGCTGTCCGAATGATTGGGTGGAATCGAATAATTTACGTCTTCACCATGAAATTGCAAGTGCAATTTCTCCAGCGCTGTTAACGTAGCGATTCGATCGATTTGCGGTTGTCGGTAAACATTGATAGCGTAAAAATGTAATTGCGTGTAAAATCCGTGTGCAAAAATTTCCTCCAAAAGTTCACACAGTTGGTCCATGTCAAATTCAAAGCAATCAACGTCCAATATGATTAAACGATCAAATTTTAAGTTCGATGTCACCATCCAGGTTAAATTGCTTTGCAGAATAGATGCTGTAGTTGAAAAAACCTTAACACTTGGATTTAGATCGAAAAATATTTGAAGTTCGGGAATATTTTTCGCTCGTCGAATATAGTCGCGATAGTCACACATTATCAAATGCTCCAATTGTGGATAGTGACGATGGAGCCACTGCTTTCCCATTTCACTTTCAGCAAGCACTTCATGGAAAATGATGTTGAGCGTTTTTAAGTTGGTGCAATGTTGCAGAAATGCATCCAAATATTTAATGCCAATGTCATTTGAGAGGATTGTGACTCGGTTGAGATGCACATTTTTGATGCGCCCAATCACATCTTCAGTGAGTTGATGGTCGCTGATTTCGATTTCTTTGAACAATTTACAAAAGTCTGCACTGAATAGTTCGAAATGTTGCAAATAATCGTCAAAATAGAGCATTCCAAATCCATTAGGGTAATTCGATTCAATGTAATAATCGATGACTTTTTTGAACCGTGTACATGTGCGACGCAATGCCCGTAAATCTTCCATTGACAACCATTCAAACAGCTCCTCAAAACAGTCTACGTCCAATTTGAATATGCATTCTGGATCAACAACTACGTCCTCATTCTTATTTTCAGTAACATCCAACGCTGGTTCGGTCACTTCCAGTGGCAGAGATTCCCTTTGGTTCGGACCAATCACAAACAGTCGAAACAATTGGCTCAAAAAGTTTCCCATTATCAAATCCTGGAAATATTCCAAAACAATGGAATTAAATTCATGGTTTTTTCTAACTAGATTCAACTTATGTTTCATTTGAAAATACTTATTCGACGACAACGACATGTTTTTGAACGAAATTGAGGGAAAAATAATGAACATTTTTTTGCAACACATAAATTGCGAACATATTGTACTATATAGGCAATTCACCTTTTAGTCCTATTTGCGCAGTTTTTTTTTTATTTTCACTATTTTCGCAGGAACGGTCACATTTATTGGGATTTCGTTATGTCCTATCGAAAATTAAACTTAATACCAATTCAGCCCACTTCCAAACATCCATTAATTTGAGTAATGAAAAATCGAATTTTCACGAAAGGACTCAACACACTGTGTTGTTCAAAGTTTATGTTTACATGTCAATGACGCGCGAAAAAGGACAGCTGCATCAATGTTCGTTCACAGTGCAGATGGCGCAGTTAACACTTCAGACGACAGTTGACAGTTTAGACAATTTGAAATAGTCTCCACGATACATTCATCTCTGCTATGTGAACGAGGCTTAAGGTTACAGAGAAAACAGATAGATTACAACAACTGAATATCATTCATAACGAATAACATTAAATGAATTGGCCTGGGTCACGAAAGCGGAATTTTTGATATCAAATTTTGTTATTATTCATGTTGGTCACACAGCCGAAAATAAAATAAACGAACAATTTTTTAGGCGGTTCTTAGGCATTCGAAAGTTGAGCAATTTTTTTTCAATGATTTTTAAAATGAACGTTTGATTTATTTTCAATATGAAGAAGTCTCTGATAAATATCGTTTTTTTGCAATGCCATTTTTAAAAAATCATTCGAATAACAATATCAAAATTTTGGAACAAAGTTCATTAAAACCCAAAAAAAAAATTAAAAGTGATTTGATTAATCACATTAAAAATGTTCATGAGTAATTTACTTAATTAATTACTCAACCAAATGAAAAAAAAAATTCACGATACATTTCGTTCGGCGAATTTGGCTAAATTCCACCAGATATTCGACTGATTTACGTCATAGAATGGACCGGTTTTTTAAAGCTAATAATGTCCATATTTGGATGGAATGAAAACAGCTGGGTCGCTAGCGGGGAATAACACCAAAAAAGTTCAAATATAAAAATACTGCATTTTGGGTCACTTTCACTTTCAAATGTGATACTTCATAGATGTAGTTACTATAGTAACTACTAAATGTATACATTTTAGTTGCATGAATAGATTTTAATAAGTTTCTTCAGTTTTAATGCAGCAAATCAATAATATTCTAGTCAAAAAGAGAAGAAACAAAATGTCGTTACAAATGTTATTTTCATTGATTTCAAATTATAAATGTTTACTGATTTCGTGTCATCTTTTGATCTGGATTCAGAATGGCACAGCAAAGACAATTTCACAACCAACGGAATCATATGACAACAACGTAAGTAATTATAAATTTTTTTCTAGATTCTTTCCCAAACTTCTTGTTTTCCACAGTTAAACCAAACTAATTATCTAATTCAACGCCTCTGGTGTTTCAAGCTTGATTTAAAAAATGCAAATTAAGAATTAATTTGTAACTTGTTCTTATAAAATAAATTCCTTCCCAGGCCCATGATCGATCAAGTCAAACTGGCTTTTTAAACTCAAACAATGTTCCACAGCATAAAGTCAAGGACGGAGATTTTGTATGGCCAACAACAAATATTTCTTGGAGGTAAATTGAATTGGCCGTAATCAAATTTATAAATTCCTAGCAAAGAAAAAATATCTCTTGAGCAGAGGCAGAATACAATTTCAATGACAATGTGTATTTGTAATTCCAGGCTTGAAGAAGATACATTGAAATTGGCAAATTTGGAAAATGAAGCTGATAACGTAAAGAAGATATTGAGGGACGCGTTCAATGAATGGTCAATGGATACCTGTTTGACGTTTTATGAAATGAAAAAAAACGAAAAAGTCGAAATCGAAATAAAATTCGTTGAGTAAGAAAATTCACTTTAAATCAAGTTCTTTGAACCGATTCGTCATAGTTTCTTCAGATTAAATAGAGATTGTGTTTTTTTAGGGAAATGTTCATCCATACGGATATAGTACTGGGGCATACACTATTCCTAGGCACTAGACAAGGTGGCGATATGTTTCTTAATCCATATGTAAACTGGACGTTGTATCCTTACAAGGATGAAGGTATTTTTATCTAATTCCAAAACCAAATTTCATTCGAATCAAACTTATTGAAATAAATCCATTTTTATGTTCCACTCAGGTGATACGAGTTTAAAACTAGCAGTGATACATGAGGTATTTATCCTATAGTATCGAACATATAATATCGAATCCAGATTCTAATAATTTCAAATACTGAAATAAATCAATAAAAGTGTAACGAATTGAAATGTCTCGAAGAGATCTCACATGTACTTGGTTTAATCCATTCAAAGGACCCAAATTCACTTACGTAATATGCAATATTTCTGAATGGAACACTCACTGAAGACGATATACAACGCGCACGGAAATTATATCATTTTGAAACGAACACACCTTTCATTAAAAAGACTACTTTGCGCCCACCTCAGTATGACTGGCCGGACATTTGCAACACCAGTTTCGATTATGCGCTAATGTTTCGTGGAAAACTCTTGATTTTCAAGAATGAAGTAAGTATTGGAAATATGTGTTTGAATCGATTAGATGGAGTGTAAATCAAAAGTGTTTTTAAGTCTTCATTACCTGCATAAATTTACTCTGTTCCAACAGTACGTCTGGCGTGTTAACACTGCAACTAGGAGAATAATAGGGGACGGTCCACTTGTGATCCAAGATAATTTCAAGGGCTTCAAGGAATAATGTTCGATATTGATACGTGATGATAACGATGATATTTAACATTCATAAGAATGAATAGAATTCATTTCGAACCGAAATTTTCATGTAAGAGGCGGTGAATATATCACTATACTGCATATATGCGAAATATATGTCAAATATGGCAATGCATTATTGGTAACTTATGGGAAGTTGAATGAGATCATATTAGGTGCGATAATCATTTCAAATAATAAGCATTGATAATTTGAAAATGTATTTGTTCACATTTCGTATGGCCAACCGGGTATCAAGTGCCTTCAAACATCCACAATACTTTGGTTTGTAGCAAAATGCGATGTCAAAAAGTCGTCAAAATGATTGGGATCTGGGAAAACTTTATTTTTTTTATTTTTCTTTCGTTCATTTATTCGGGGGAATCATAAGTTTCATCATATTTTCCTGATTGAAAGCTATCATCAATACATAAAAAAGTTGGGTACCTTTTTTAACTTATCTCTCTTTCAACTGAGTTGACATTGTAAACATTATTGATTAGATAAAGAAATAAAAATTAATGAATAATAATTTTTCGTAACTCAAGTTCATCGTTCAATGCGAAGTTGTTTAAATCTCATTTATTAATTGGGAAAAAGGAACAAATATGGGTAACCCATTGTTTCCTTTGATTAGTGAATGTTTCATGGCTGCGTTGGAAAATCAGTTAGAAGAAAGGGGCCTTCTGCCTAGAGTGTGGCATCGATACGTTGGTGATATTTTTGCAGTGTTCGAACGCGAAAAATTGGACGAAATTTGAACAATTTAAATTCTCAATTCCCGACAATTAAATTCACTTGTGAAACTGAAATTGACATTAAACTGCCTTTTTTGGATATTCAAGTGCATAGAAAAACAGATCACTCGCTAGAATGTTCAGTGTATCACAAGCCAACGAGTACAATGCGTGTTATTACGAGTGATTCTCATTGCCCGTTTCAATACAAAACAGCCTCTTTTCATTCAATGGCTCATCATTTATGTTCGTTTCCTCTTTCTATCGAACATTACAAAGAAGAGTACGACGATTATATGAAATCGGTTGCCACTCAAAACGGTTTCTCAATTTCAATGGTTGATAAAATAATAAAGAAACATGCTAACAAAGCGAAAAAAATGAATGCAACGACTTTATCACCATGTGCAGAAAAACCGGAGAAAAAGAGAGTGGCAGTGTCGTACGTGCCACAAATCAATTAGAAAACGTATTCAACGAATTTGATATGACGTTAGTTTACAAAAACAATAACTAATTATGTGATTTGCTTGGCAGTACAAAAGACAGAAAAAACAATTTAGAAAAATCGGGCATATATCGTATTACATGTAGTGAATGTGGAGCTGTTTACATTGATCAAACGAAACGCTCAGTAAAAAAGCGGTTCAAAGAACATCTGAGGTACATTGGACACAAATACGTAAGACAGTCGGCATTTGCCAATCATGCGGTATTCAATGAACATTTAAATGTGACTATCGACAATGTCGAATTGATACAAAGTGTGAGTGACGAAAGACGACTTGATGCCTATGACCCATGGGATATGAGTGTGTGCACATTTTGAAGAACGAGAACACAGTGAATCTAGATAACGGTAATATCGATTCAGTGTTGTTTGCGTTCGTTTGACCGATGAATTTTTATGTGCATTTGTGTGTGTTTGTGTCGTTCGATGTTTGGACGATTGCCGCGAGGTGGTTTTGGCTGAAATGCGATTTTCGTTTAGTCGTGATGCTGATGATTACTCGTAAGCCGAGTTGAAATGCATTCAAGTTTGGTTGTTGAAATAAAGTAGCGTTTATTTTGATAATTCCGTGTAGAATCAATAAGGTGTTTTTGAAATTGCATTTGATAATTGGGAGTTACTTGTGAAAAACTGTGAAATCATAATGTTAAAAAGAAAGAAAACATTCAATAATCCCATGACATTTCGATAACTATTTGAACGATTTAGTGTAGAAAAATTGTGTTTTAAAATCATCCCGACCAAACGTTCAAAACTTAATAAAATGTATAGAACAGCCAAGCACGAAACATTCGTATCCAATTCGATGGAAAATAAATCGGTATATGATCTACCGGGCATTGGTCAAGTACGAGGTGGACGTTTAGAGAGTGTTGGCATCCGAACTGCAAGTCAACTGGCATCACTTTATAAACGTATGGGACGTGATGAATTTGAATCATTTCTAAATAGAACTTGTGGCCAAAATTCGCGATGGACTGGTATGACTATAATGGCACTGGATGAGTATAATGAAACAGATGTTTCATCTATCGGGTTTACTCCACCACAAAAGAGCACTTTTGCGTTGCCTCAAATAGCAACACCAAGAAGCTACATAGAAAGCAAAGTAAGAATTGGCAGAAATTGTATAAATTTCATGTGCATCTTTTTTATCTCTTTTTGTTCATTCATTTACATCACCTACCAATTGGTTTTTACACGTTTCAAGATCTAACTTGTACAAGTTATGAGCAGTACCGTGTCTTGATTTCTTTTTCCATATGGTGCTGAAGCGACATCTCACTGCGACAACGTAAGCTTCATACTCACAACAGAAAAAAGTGGCAT